TATTTACCAGGTTAATCTCGGGTTCGGGTTCATATCGGTCGGATGCAGGTCGGATTCGGTTATCATATTATCAGTTTAATTCGGGTTCAGGTCGTTCTCAGATCAGGTGCAGGTCGGGTTCAGATCCACAATTTACAGGTACACCTCGGGTTCATGTCAACGCCAGTTTGAACTCAAATCGGTTTCGAATCAACACCACCTGAGTCACAAAACAGTTTCAATCAATTTTACAGATTGGGTTAGCATTTTACAACCCTTGCATTTCCTCTAACATGGCAGTGGAAGAAAGGTAGAAGCCTCCCCTTAATCTTGTGGTCGTGGGATCGAGTCTCACGGTGGGCAATTCATAATTCTGACTGCTGGAGGTCTTCCATAGAAGTTGCTCTCAACCTGGCGTTGGGGGCAGCCTACTACCTTACCTCCCCCTCACCCCAGTAATGTGGGAATAGGGTCAACTACTTTTTGAGGTTCCTCGAGATGATGAGAAATTGGACGAAAAATTGTAAGATTGTTAACTAGAAGAAAAACTGGGAGTTGAAGAAAACAAAGAGGGAGGATTCCGTGAGGAAGAGCTGCTCTTTTACAGTTTTACCTTCAAATTGGACTTCTCTCATAGGCTTATAGACGCCGAAAATGTCGCCGTCGGTTGGCCGTCGGTGCTAAGCTCCACCGCTGCTGATGCATCGCCTCTGATGCATTTAACCTTGTTGCACTGATGCGTTGTTTGAAGATTATAATATGAGAGTGCAAGTGATTCCAGATATCGGCCATAATGCATCTAAACAGTCTTGGTTATATCAGTTATATTGTGCTAGCAAATAATCTTCATTTCTTTCATCTAAATTTGTTGTGCGAATGGAAGTCTGTAATTTTTATGGATGCTGGTTGTTATAGTTCCTTTGTATTTCAAAATTATACTTTTGTTAAAGAAAGTAATTTTCATTTTTTTTCTTCTAATCTTCCCTCATTGATACCATATGAATTATATTAATTCTACATAAATAATATCGATACCACATGAACAATATTAATACTATATAAACAAGCATTGATACCTTATGCAAAATTAAAATATATCATAATGTTCCATATCATCTCTAGGTTGAAAATCCTATTAAATGTTCCACTTCTTAAAATTAAAAATCATATCTTTATAAAATGAACTTGTAAGTTAAGTTGTACTAGTAGGAATTGGACATTTGAATTCCAAATCAATATTTTTATTTTCACTTATATACATCCTCGTATCTTTTATCCTTAGAAGTATGGGTTTCTTTTATGATAAATTTTTATAACTATTAATAATTTTTAGCTAAGATATTATAACATTTATACGTTATACAAAAATATACTAATAATGCATTGATATGCGTCGCATGTGACATATATTCGTATAAAAATGTAAAGTTTTAAACTTAATCAAATAAATATATAAAATTACGAGGCTTAAATGCAAAATAAACCCTCAATTTATATCGGTTTTTAGTTAGCTATTTAAATTATTTTTTAATTAAATTAAATATTTAATTTATAATTTTGTATTCATTTTAGGTTCAACCGTTATCTTCACTTTTTTTAATAAATGGTCACTGGCTTTTGTTGAAATAATAAAGAAAAGAGAGCCATTAAAGGCTCATTACCACAGTTCACTAACCCACCAAATTAAAGTAGAAAAGTCTAACCAACAATCAATCAGTTTAATGGGATGAGTCAATAGATTTTTTAAACAATATTAGGGATACGAACGCTAACGTTGTGAATGGAGCAAACTAAATTGAAAGGATTTTCTTCGTCTCTACAGTACCCCGAATGAAATAGCAATTGCGCCAAAATCCAAAAAATATATATATAATGATGAATATTACCTCTTTTTAATAAAACTAATGACTTTTATAAAATAAAAAGAAAAAAGAAAAAATGCTAACCATAAATAATTAAAATTACATTTGGTATGTGGATCACCATTGTTGCTCATCGAGAATCAAAATTTACTCAGAACTCCTTGTTAATTCCTTTTCGGAATTATTGGCAATGCTCATTATTAGTTTAACATGGACTAGTTGCTGATTTATGTTAAACTAAATCAAAATGTCATTGTCTGATTGGTTGAAGAGATTTTTGAATCAATATAATAGTTGGGTTCAAGTGTTTAAATTACTATAATATAAATTCCTAACAAAAAGAAAAAAAATGTACTTTAAGGGCTTATACAACATATAAATCAAGTTTTAAAATATTAAATATAAAAATACATATTATAAGAAAATAGAAAGAAAATACATGAATTTATGAATGAACTTAGGCTAAACATTTATAAATATAAACTATTTTAATAAATTTTAAGACTTTATACTTTAGGATGGATCGAACTTCGACAAATATATATGTGTAATGTTAACATCATATGTATACAATCATTAGCATGTTTATGGTTTGAACTGAGTATATATTCAGCTCGAACCATTAGCATTACTAATGAGGACATTTAACGGATCGAAAAAAACATTCAAAATAAATAAATAAACAAATTCACAGGACGCGTATTCAAGTCCAAACACAAGTTCAAGTAATCATCCACCGTATTCACACATTGCAAAGGTGCAACGGTTTTGTCCAGGACAATGTTGAAAACAAGAACCACAGTTGCGAGGATCATTAAGAAGATCAACACATTTTCCGTTACAACAAACGAATCCATGACCACAAACTTTTCCACTCTACCCACAATTATTTGAATCCCTGAGAACATCTTTACACTGTTGAAAACAACATTTTCTGCCTCCCCATGGATTTTTCTCGCCGTCCAAACAGATATCGACGTCTTTACCACACGACAACACCTTTGTTCGACCCCGAAAACCAGACCGAAAGAAGTTCAGATGTGCCGGAACATGAACGTCGGATGATGACCGTGGCAGCAAACTGCGTTGCCTTGATCCTGCAGCAATGCCGTTGTTTGTTTCAATCGAAACGAGGATGACAATGATGATCAAAAGTGGAAAAGAATTTGCAGAAAACATGGGAATTATTTTTCACGTAATAGCTTCCAAAGTTTTGTTTGAGATTTTCTTATGAACTTCGTTAATGGAGACAATCAAGTTTATATTGAATTTCTAGGCTAAAATATTAAAAAAATACCTTAAACTTTTTAATTTTTTCTGAATAGACCCCATACTTTTTATTGTTCTCAAATAAGCATTTATTTTTTTTTAAATTTGCACCTAATAATGTCTTTTATTTCAAATGAAATGTCAATACATGTTAAGCATTTGTTTAGATATAAATTAAAAATTCGAGCTTATTTGGATATGAATTAAAATTTTAAAGACTTATTTAAATTTAATTGAAGTGTAGGATTTATCCAGTCAAAATGATAAATTTCGAGGAAAAAAACACGTATCATTGATTTGCATGTAAGCCCTTAAACTAAATGAAATATTGATTTGTGTTAAAATTATTAGGTAAAAATTAAAAAAAATTAAGGGCTTATTTGGATACAAATTAAAAAGTTAATAGTTTTATTCATGTATAACAAAAGCACGAGGGTTTATTTAGTTAAAATGACAAAGTTTAAGGGGTTATTGTTAAATTATAGGAAAATTTTAATATGAAGACGGCGCTGCTTACGTAAAGGATTAACCTAATATGTTTCAAACAATTAGGGGAGGTTGAGGCATGAAATAGATTTTGAATATGACTTGATAATTTTTAAGTTTGATTAGTTTCTTGTTAGTCAATGAGAATCTTTCAACAAATCATCATTTTTATTGTCCAAACATTTATATATATATATATATATATATATTAGAAGTAAGATTATGAAATTTGGCAAAGTTAGGTAAATATCGTGCGTGGGATTTTTTTTAAAAAAAATACATGTGCTGAGAAATTATTTTGAGATCTAGACGATTTGTTAACTCGATGTATGGACATCATAAGTTTTTAAAAAAATATAATAATTAACCGGAACTCGTTGTGTGGGTTGGAGGAGTTTTAAGCTTAAGCTCATGGAACTTGTCATGTGGACACGATGAATTCAATTATTATATTTTATAGAATTCGTCATGCTACAAATTTTAAATCTACTAAAACAAATGCTTTAGATCTAAATTAATTTTCCAATACTAATATTTCCTAAATATTTTTTCCCGCTTGAATTATTTGAGAAATTTAGTGAAAATTTGTCATATATAATTATAAAGATGATTGAATTTCCAATCATATATTCTTGACTCATCTTTGATAATTGATGTATTCCATCAATTCCAAATTAGCCCAAATAGGTAAATTATACAAATGACTCTCCTATTATAGGGTACTATTTTATTGAGTCTCTCAACTGTTAAAAGTTACAAAATGGCCCTATTATTGTAGGATATTGCTTTGTTGAGTCCCTTAACTATTAAAAGTTACAAAATGATCATCTGACTATTTAAATATTTCAAACTCCTCATTTTCATTAAAAATTGATGGCTTTTTGAGCTAGACGTTAACATGTTGATTGAGATATGATAAAATCTGATCTCATAATTGTTTGAAGTGTATTTTATAGATCAAGTCTTCGTTTATATTATGTCGTCGAGTCGGTGCTTGAAATATTATGCAGTCGAGCCAGTGCTTAAAAGTAATGACAAACATCATTAAAATATAATTTTATTATATCTCAGTCAATAAGTTAACATCAAAATCAAACGACCATTGATTTTATAATTAAAAATGACGAGTTTAAAATATATAAATATTCGAATGATTATTTTATAACTTTTAATTATTGGATAACTTAATAAAACATCATCGCATAGTAGACGTGTCGTATGCTCCAACTATTAATTTGTATTGTAAAATTTCGATCTGGATCGGACGTATAGCTTCATGATTGGATTTGGATAGATGGAGTGTACTCCCACTCCATATATGTATGTATGCATTAAAGGTGCAACGAGTAAGATGGGTTCAGCTGCTTCAACTAACAAAGCCCAATTGCAACGCACATCCGATACTGGATCTGGATTGATAGACAAGAAGCCGCCATTGTTAAAGCGTATGTTTTTTAGGCTTAAATCTTACTATCCCTAGCGACTGAAAAAGGCTGCGTTCATCTTCCTCGGGCAAACTAATCAAGAAAGTCTCGAGCAACTCTCTCTTCCAATCAGGTTCCTTTGATTGTTTCATGTTTCTTTTTGTGTTTTTTAGCTCTAATATTTCTTTTATGCTCTTATAATATAATTTGTGTTGCTGGTCGCTGCTTTTGCCTGTCTGTTCTTAAATTGTCATTGCTGGCTTTGTCATTTCTCCATTTTTGTTCTGTTTCTGGGAGAATTTATGTTTTTGTTGGGTTTGAAGGTTCAAGCTTAAGGATTGAAAATTTTGAGGTTTTGGGTTATTGGATTTAGGGTTTATGTGCAGTGAATTAAGAACTTAATCAATCCACGGTTATTGGATTTAGAGTTCTTGGGCAGTGAATTTAGAATTTAATTCTTCAGGCTATATTGGATTTAGGGTTTTGGGGAAGTAAATTAGGAACTTATTTAACCAGAGTTTATTGGATTTAGTGTTCTTGGGCAGTGAATTAAGAAATTAAGTAACCAGAATTCTATTCCTTACCAAAATAATAATTATCTTACAAATCCAACATTTCCTCACTGTCATATGAGGCTCTTCGGCCAAACTCTGCTTTCTGTCATTTTTTTGCTTCGTAAGTTGTAGGAAAAGTGAGCCTTCTGGGTTGGGTTTTTGCTAGATTCCGATAATTAGATACTCTTTTACTTCTACATTTAGTGAAATGATTTTGTTTTTGGGATATGTTCTGATTACAGTTCATATTGAAGCAGAAAGAACTTTATCAGGAGCAACAAAAATGTCGAAAAAAGGTCTGATGGAGCAAGACTTAAGTAAACTGGATGTAACTAAGTTGCATCCTCTCTCCCCTGAAGTTATATCTCGACAAGCTACTATAAATATTGGTAATACATGAATTCCTTTGTGATCAAGCTACTTGTAGCGTGTATCATTATGTTGCAATCTCCTAGTTATTTCCATGTGCTTTATTGATCAATCTTTTGATTTGGAATTCAATTTATCAGGCACCATAGGGCATGTTGCACATGGGAAATCAACAGTTGTGAAAGCAATATCTGGTGTTCAGGTGATTATTTTCAATGAGTGATACTGAACTAGGATATGATAGCTTACCTTTTAAGAGTTTTCTTAGCAATTTGTGCCTTCTGTATGGTGACTACTGTCGCCTTTGAATTTAAACATCACACACGTAGCTTTGTGTGTTTCATGCCTTTGCTGTAGACTGTTCGTTTTAAGAACGAATTGGAGCGTAACATTACTATAAAGCTTGGATATGCAAATGCAAAGATATACAAATGTGAAGATGAACGATGCCCTCGTCCTATGTGCTACAAGTAGGTTCATATCCAGTAATTGTTTTCTTAGTCAATTTAATGCAGTGTTTAAAAAACTGGACTGGATTTGCTAGTCAAACTACTAGAACTGGTAATCAGTGGCCCTTCTGGTTTAGTATATATCATCAAGTTGCTTTGATTTTGAACCTACTAAACATCAGTTGAATTGAACTGGTCAAAAACCAGTAAACAGATCGTCCTAAAAAAACTAGTTTTAAACCTTTTCTATTCTTTAATAAAAAAAATTATCATTTGTGATTAGATTTTAACCCTAAATCCCTCTAGTTTATATGAAATTGTTTACCATTTAATCAAGTACATATTTTTATTTAGTATTTATTATACTTCATGTTTATTTAATATTAAAATATTCTTTTTAATAAAACCAACCAGTTGTACCGGGAACTGGGGCTTTACCTGTTTGATCATTGCTGCGTTTTTTTAATATTTATTTAATGAGTGTTAATAGTAACTTCAACTGATATTTTTTTATCTTTTTCTTTTTGCTAGGGCATATGGAAGCGGAAAGGAAGATAGTCCTCTTTGTGATGTGTCCGGCTTTGAAAACTGTAGGATGAAGTTGCTGAGACACGTATCTTTTGTAGATTGCCCTGTAAGGTCCTAAGTGCTACTCTTTGGGGATAGTTTTTAAGTTCTACAAATCTCTTGTTTGATCAGCCACTCTTGTTTCAGTCCTATAAAAGGGATTAGCATATTGCTTTACAGATTTATAAAAGTCTTTTATTTTGTTTTATTTGGATTTATGTTTTATCTTCAATGTATTATCAGGGTCATGATATTCTCATGGCTACTATGCTTAATGGAGCAGCTATCATGGATGGTGCATTACTTCTCATTGCTGCCAATGAAAGCTGTCCGCAACCTCAAACTTCTGAGCATTTGGCTGCTGTTGAAATCATGCGACTCCAGCATATTATAATTCTTCAAAACAAGGTTGATCTTATTCAAGAGAATGTTGCCATCAATCAACATGAAGCAATTCAGAAATTTATTCAGGTTATTTCTATATTTTCTCGTAAAAATGGATGGATATTTCATTATTGTTACACTTTTGAATCTTTTGCTCAAAATAATTCATTGCAGGGTACTGTTGCTGATGGTGCACCAGTGGTACCAATTTCTGCACAACTAAAATATAACATCGATGTTGTGTGTGAGTACATTGTTAAGAAGATCCCTATTCCCGAGAGAAACTTTGTCTCGCCCCCTAACATGATTGTCATCCGATCATTTGATGTCAATAAGCCAGGATTTGAAGTTGATGAGATTAAAGGTGGTGTTGCTGGTGGAAGTATTCTCAGGGTAAGTATTTATCTGGAATGTAGTTGGTCTTTATTCGGAGATGAATGCTAGAACCGATACACATCTTTATTTACTACAAACCCTAGACCTTACTATATAAGTTTCATCTTTCATGTTTGTCTATATCAACTTTTGCTAAAAGATAGTTGCTAGAGAGTGGATTTAGAGTGAGCTTCAGTAGCTTTGGTTTTGAATTCTTGGTTATTTTGGTAATATTTGTTTGTTGCAGGGAGTTTTGAAGGTGAACCAATTTATTGAAGTTCGTCCTGGGATTGTTGTCAAGGATGAAAGTGGAAACATCAAATGTACACCCATATATTCCAGAATAGTCTCACTGTATGCTGAACAAAATGAACTACAATTTGCTGTTCCGGGAGGTCTAATTGGTGTTGGAACAACTATGGATCCAACTTTGACACGTGCAGATAGGTTGGTGGGTCAAGTCCTTGGGGAGGTTGGGTCACTCCCAGAAGTTTATGTCGAGCTTGAGGTAGGTGCTAAATTTCTTTAGTAGGATGTTTACTGATTTCATTTTTGCTGAAATGTCTATTTTCAACTTGTATTTATGGCCCTCCAAATATATAGAAAAGCTATAAAAAAACTGAATAAACATGTACCGGACACATAATCTCTAGTAACATAGGTTGTTACATGAGAAAAAATATAAAAAAATGCTGACTGCTATCATCTTCCTGGTCGTTGTCTGTTATAATTGTGCAGGTAAACTTCTTCCTTCTCCGAAGGCTTCTTGGGGTTAGGACGAAGGGTTCAGAGAGGCAAGGAAAGGTGTCGAAGCTGGCCAAGGGAGAGATCCTAATGTTGAATATCGGGTCAATGTCAACCGGTGCTAGAGTCATAGCTGTAAAGAATGATTTGGCAAAGCTGCAACTCACATCCCCGGTATGCACCAGCAAGGGAGAGAAGATTGCACTAAGCCGGCGTGTTGAGAAGCATTGGCGTCTGATTGGATGGGGCCAAATCCAAGCTGGAACAACCCTCGAGGTTCCGCCCTGCGAACTTTGAGAACTGATAACAGGTAAACAGAAAGCAAAAACATCAGTTGAAACGAAGAATCTGATATATTTTTTTTGTTGGGGTTAAAAATGTGGGAAGGTAGACAATATCTTGGTACTATTTTTTTCAGGTGGAGAAGAAAACATTGTTTGGATTATTTCATCACTGTGCAATAACTTGATTGTCACTTGTACTGTATTTTGAGTCTTCTAGACTATGCTGAAACTTGCAACTTTTGGTAGGCTGTGTTGCCATTTTATTTTGGGGAGAGGGGGTAAAATCTATGTTGTTTCTAGTTTTTATTTTTCTTGAAGAACTCGCTCTAATCCTGCGAGGGGAAGGGGGACCCGAAAAGAAGGAAGGAGTACGATTTTAGTGGGTCTACGATCTATGACCTAAGAGAATATGATGGAACAAAGATGGATAGTTTGGTCAACCGGTTATATATTCTTGTCGACTTTATTGATAAAGATAAATGTTGCTTTTCTAAAAAAAAAATCATATCAAACTTATAAAGCCCTAACGTATCTTAAAGTTGGACTAAGCAAAATTGATATTCCATGATTAAATTGCTATCCTCTCATGATTTAAATATTATAAAGGACTAACATTAATCGGTGTTATTTTTGCTTTCTAATTAGCAAATGGTGCATGTTTCCAATGGTAGTTCTTAAAGAATCAACAGTATTGGCTGTGAGCTAAAATTGAATTTTCAAGTAAATTTTGATTGTTTAATGTGAAATGACATATTTTCCATAATTGGTTGCTTTGCAATTTTTTTTAAAAGTTGCTCTTAGTTTACTACTCGCATGTTAGCTGTCCGTTGTAGGATTGATATTTTATGTTAAAGAAATTTTTATCCAATCGTGTTTCAATAAACTCTAATTTATAAATTTGTACGAGTCGCTCTAATAACATCTAACATTCTCTCAAAAAATCATTTAAAATCTTAATTTCACTTGAACAATTAATTTCTTAATTTCTTTCTACCCTTGGTTTACACCTGCTTTCACTATAAAATAAAAAAATTAAATATTTAAATATTTTTTTTAATTTTAATGTGTATTTTTATATTATAAAATTATTTATGTATTTTTACAACTTTAATGATATCTATATTGCTTATTTTTATATTATTTCAAAACCCATTAATTTTTCTATAGTATAACCTTTTTTTTTAAATAACCGTAAATAGTAATCTTAAAATAATTTTTTTTTTGTCCAAACCTTGTTTTTTGCGGATCGTTAGTCGGGTTTCATTTATTTGGCTTTTACAACAATGATTCTTTTCTTTACATTAAAACGATATAGTTCGGAAAATGTGTGAATATTTAAAGAATTTGGGCAAAGTCCATTTACGCACAAAATATTGGTTTGGTTTGATTCAGTAATATTCATGTAAAAAGTTGAAAGATGGAAGAAATTGCAGTGAGAAAAATTAGAGCAGTTCCAAGCCCCAGTGGGGAAGGAAAAAGAATGGGACAAAACTTTTAAACAATTCCCGTACTCACTTTACGACGATGTCTAGACCCTGATTTCCGATCTCTTCTACGTCTTGCTGTTGATACCTTCCTTACTCCACCAACACTTCCGTTACCGGAATACGGTGGTGGCGGCGGATAAATGGCCGGAGGAGCCCTCTCAGCCAAATGGGCTAAAACTTCTTTATGGTATTTCTGCAACACAACAAATAGAGGCACAGAGAGGTCAAGACCGGAAATCGAACCAAATCCAAAAGCCTCGTGCTTTTTATGTAGAAAACATGCCTCATTATCGGACCCTCACAGTTTTGGAATGCCGGATATAGCACACAAAATGTATGGTTATCACATAATCTTACAGATGAGCAGGAAACGAATCCTTGCCTAAAATCGATGTACGAGAATCGATCAAGTTCAATTTGTCCCCTTGTTATAAAAACAAGCACCCAAAACTTTGAAATCGTATGCAGAGAGGAAGAATCAATCATCAATTGTCTAATGGAAGAGCGTTCGGAAGACGGTTTATCAATAGGCATAACAAAAGCTAGAAATTTTGGAGATTCATAGAGGATTTAAAGCTTCTTTAATGGGAAAAAAATGATTTCGTTCATCCATTAAGAACAAAAAAAGCAGAAGAAATTTTATACATTCGATGAGGGCAAGTTACGGCAAACAAATAAAATCAGGTTCAAGAGACAGTGAAGAATCTGCATATACACATGCAATTTCTGAATGAGTTGCATTGGAGGAATGTTAAAACTAAACCGTAACAAATGATCGTTGTCCGAAAAAAGGAAGTCCACAGCATTAAATTATTGCTGGAGCATATTTCCGAATGCAGAATGTAAAAGAAAAACAGAGAAATAAATACCTGAACGACAAAGTTGCGCCTTTCACAGTCCAAGAACATATTGACAGTCCAGTTCGTCTTTGCTGCAATTTTATCCCTCACCGTTGAAAAACTAAGTTGGTCTCGGGAAGTAAAACGGTCAACTTCGTTGAACCAAAGACACGTAAAAAGGTTGCTAATAGGAATATGCTCCCTTATAATTACACATCCTTCAGGAACATCTGCAGAGCCAGCCATTAAAGCAAACATCATTAAAGCTGAAAGAAGCACAATGAAACACAATAACACAATAGCAAAATCTTGCAACACACCACTTGTGATAGGAAGTTTAGCCTCGGAATATGGGGTCAAACCCTCATTTTTATAAAACTCAACCTGATGGTTAATCGAGTCATTATCATATTTGCCTGCAGCTTTATTTGCCTCAGCTTCAACAAACACATCAAAGCGTTTATAATGCCTAGATATTGCAAAGGAAGCATTTTTTCTCCACAAGAACCTGAGCGAACACATCAAAGAGCTAGAATAAACATGGATTGGCCCGAAAACCAGCACTGAAGTTGGCAGAAAACCATCAAATAGGGAGCAAACTTTTAATATAATAGTGTTCATGACGGTAATCAAAAAGTGATTTTAGACACATCCAATTATTATTTAATCCAGTTTATCTTCGAATATAAGACTTAAAATTCATATCAAACATGGAAGCTGGAAAGAACTCTGAAGTACCTCTCAAGAATTTGATATGGATCAGCAACAAGCTCAAGCTTCCCATCAATCCATAAAGAAAAACGAGCATTCGGAAACAGCCTATGTAATAGAAGCTTCGGGATCTGTTATGGGTATAACATGAGCCAAAAGGAATAAAACTTCTTTAACTATGCATTATAACATATAGGAAGATATTGTGGGAGCAATTTGATCCTTTATTTTCTATAAGATTATGTCAAAACCAAATGAAACTGCTTGGTTCCTATATGAATCTAGTAACGTTTGTGGACCATATTCATGATCATTTACTAAACTCAAGACTCTTTAACTCTGATCTATAATCAAAGGACATTGTCCACATTAAAACATTTACCTTTCCATTGCGCCTTCCATCGGTGTAAGGAAGATTGCGTACTAGAATAATTCTCCAGACCCCTATCTTCTTATTCTCATACTTTGTTTTCAAATCAGCTTGTGTTTCTTCATCAACAAACATATAGAAGCAGATAGTTTGCTTTGAATATTCGCTAATATTCTTTGGCTGCTGTATGATATCGAAAGCTCCTGCAAAAGAATTTGATTATTCAGTAAAAATTCAGTCTTTCAACAAATGAAGAATGAAAAATATATATGGTAAACTTTGCTACCGAATATTGCTGATGCAACCACCACTCCATGACATTGCTCCATCTCAAGAAGATCATTGTCATCCATGTCGAATCCTGTCCCATGGCCAGGTTTGCTTCCTTTGACAAATCTGGAAAAACAAGCAACACACATGGATCGAATTACTAAATTTCTCAAACTAGCAAATAAAATTTGAAAAGACTAAGAAAACAAGATCGCGTTCTTTTAAAAGTTTAACCCTAAAAATAAGGGATAGGTGAATCATACCCACAATGCACATTCATTCGAATCTCTTACATCATACGAATCATTACGCTGCTTCAAAGTAGGATATCCACCAAATTCTGAACCTCCAAATTCCATTGCATTAATTAAATTTTCCTCGAAAATATATGATAAATTTTTAATTACAGGAGAAAATGATGGGACTTTTGGCATCAAGGCAACAGCGTCCTCCACAGGAAGGTAACATACGGGACAAGCTGTGTCATAAACAAGCAGTAAAACTTAAAAATAATATTTCAACGAGGGCAAACTGAACTGGCAATGTCAAGTACCAAATCCCAAATAAATAAACATAGAATGAAACTACATAAGAAAACTTACGACGTGGTCCGGTTCTTTTTTTGTCGGCCGGCGGAGGGGGTAAACTGAAGGTGTTGCATGGATGCCCAGGAGGAAGAGTGTAGCCGAGAAAATATGATGGAGGAGGAGGGGACATTACCCCAACTTCAGTTTCTTTCACGCTGACTGATAAAGATGTCCAATTGTCGATTCGGGTACTTTGCACTTCATTTATCAGGGGAGAATCAGAATTATTTACAACAAATTATCTTTTACCTTGCGGACATTATCACTTTCCTGATCATCACCTGTAAACAGGCCACAAATGAATTCAACTTCTTGAATCATACCCTCAAATAACTAAAGCAAAATGGTAGCTATTAGTCCTAAACAAGAATAAAATTTAAGCAGAATCAGATAAAGGCATATCATCAGACGGAAAAAATAAGGAGTGGGAGGTGCAAACCAAATTTAACTGAGCTTGAACTTGAATCTAACCTTCCTAAAAAACTACTAAAAAAACCATAAGAAACAATGAATCAAATATAAATTGGAAGTACATTCCAAACTTGACAATGAACGAAAGCAATTTGATTGTGTTGAATCATTAACATTAGCAAATTAAATTGTCCCGAGCTAGAACTTGAATCTAACGTTTCCAAAAACTATGAGAAAAAAAAACATATGAAACAATGATCGACCAAAAATTGAAGGTACTTTCCAAGTTTGACATGAAAAAATCTATTTGATTGGGCTGAATCATTAGCACTAGCAAACTATATTGTTCTAAGTTATAGCTTGAATCTAATCTTCATTAAAAAAATCTATAGAAAACAATATGAATCAAATATAAATTGTGAGCACATTCCAAGTTTTGACAATGTAACAAAAGCAATTCGATTAGTTAAATCATTATCATTAG